GGGGCCTCCGGTGGAACATGCTAGAAATGATCTTCTCCATAGCAGTCTGGGACTGGAGAAGAAATGACCCCACACTGACAATGCCACACTGGGACCCCTGACTCCCTTCTTGTTCTTTGGGATCCCCTCATGCCATATTTCATGCTTAGCTTAGCTCAGAAGGTGCCCCTGGAAGACAGGCATACAGGCGGCTGGAGCTGCGGGTATGAAGGTCAGTTCAGGAGATACACCAAGAATTTCTCCAGGACTTTAGAGCTGTGGGACTCAGCCTATGGTGGCATGTGATGTTACAGAACAGAAAACTGTCGGTGACCAGTTTCCTGTTAGATAAGGATTCTAGCAGCCTGGCAAGTGTGTCTCGGCTGGAATGAAAAGACAATGAGATGGAACATCAAGTCACCGTTTTTCCCAGGGACACATCTTTTTGGCTCCCAATCAGCAGTCATCAATCCATCAATAAATCTGTTATGGAAGAGGAGAAGCAGAAAGCAGAGACCCAGTTGGGAGCCAGAGATGGAATTTCAGGTTTTAAGTTCAAATCAAAGCAAGCAAACAGACAGAAACTTATGTAGAAAAATTCTAAAGCAAGTTTAGCCATGACAAACCAAAGAGTGCCCAGGTCAGCCAAGAAGGATGCAAGCTCTCATGGGACTTCAATGTGCATTAAACAGGAACACTGAAGAATCGCTATCCTTTTTCATCCACTCTCCCCTTAATTCTCCCCAGCAGGTCAGCTAAGTGTACTTCATTCCAAGAACGTACTAGATCTTTTTTCACCTGGATGTTGGGGCATATGCAATTCCAAGTACGGCCACCAGATGGCGGAATAACTCCACATACCTACTTCAAGAATAAAACCCCCTAATCAGGCAGATCACTTAACCATACAGCCAACCAACCTTTGGGAAAATGTGGAAGTAAGTGAAGGTTGTCTTTAGGACACCTGTCTCCCTTTCTGTCTCCCATTCCTTGAGTTCCCTCAGTCAGGAATCCAGGGATCTCCTGCTGCCTGCTCGATCTCCAAACCATTCCCAAACCTTTCCCTGGGGTACTATCCAGGCTTACCCCCTTTCCCCCAAATGCTTACTCCCACACCTCCACACCCATTCAATCAGTAATCACATGGAGGCAGGGAGACTGATAATTCATTCCTCTGGGTTATTTGCATCTCAAAAGAAAATGCATACCCATTGGAACCTTTAACTCAGGGGTTCTTAATTTAGGGGTCAGTCACCCCAGGGGGTCCATTATTGGACTTCAGAGGGTCAATGAAACCCCTAAAACTGTCAGAATTTAGTGTATGTGTCCTTATGTGTGTTTTCCAGAGCGCTAAAGCTTTCATGAGATGCTCAAAGGTCTCAGACCCACAGAGTTAAAAACCACTATTTTAACTTAGTGGAACTTTCAGCCCAAAGTTTCTGCAATGCAGAGCAAACTGAATAGTGAACAGTTCGAGACCGACACAAGTGGTCTTCTCTAGAGTCTAGCAAAACGATGGGGAAAGCTAGGACCCGCCAAAAAGTGGAGGTCTTCAGAGATCCTTGGCATACCCTAGAGTATTGTACCACACCCCCACACGTTTGCCCCCACTTCCCCACCAAACCAGAGCAAATGTTGCAGACAGGAGGGCCACAGTATTTGGAAGTAATGACTTTCCCCCTGGAGATGCCCTTTCCAGCAATGTACGCCTGACTTCTCAGCCCTTGCCTGGCTCTGCCTGAGGCTCAGCAGTGCATGACTCCTAGATAACTCCACAGCCGCCACCCACTCCCAGCGCCTACTCTTGCCTAATAGGAATTGGCAAAGTGTCAGCCCTTGGTGCTGGGCACCTCAAACCCAAACCAGTGAACACTTGAGTTTCAAGCAGGAACTGTCATTGTGCAGTCTTCCTACCCAGCTGGCCACTGGCCCACGGGGGCCTGCCTGGCTAGTCTCCTTGTCATTACCGCTTAGGCCACGGGGCTCAGACCACTGCTGTTGCATACATCCATCCCTTTGCAAAATCCTGAAGGAGCCTGTCACCACTCCCCTCCCTATTCCCTGCTTTGTTCCCCAAGATTTTCTTCAGGTTAAAAGAGTTAAAATTTAAAAAAAAAAAAAAGAGAGAGAGAGAGAGAGGATTTTAAAATAAAGCATTTATGAAGGCTTAATAAATTGTAAATAATTTTTAAATAAAATGAAAATGCTTTTCCTGGAATATTTTTCCTGCCCCTGAAATATCTCAGTTCTAAAGTGGTTTCACATCTGAGATACAGGTTAGGTTGAAGCACACATGGAATGGTCTCACCTGAGGCCTACCAGCCTCAGGAGGCAAGACTGTACTGACGGTTATAGGAAAGCACTGGCGTTCTGCTTTGGGGGCCAGATGGGTGAGACTTTGTTGAAGCAAATGCCAGCAATGGAAAGTAAAACCCAAATGAGAAGCCCAAGTGTGAACGAGGATGAGAAGTACTAAGCTGATAATGAGAAGGGGCTGGCATTTGTGGAACCCACTTGATGGGTGAGGCACTGGGCTGGGCGCCTTCCAAGTTCAAGGTCTTGGGGGGGGGGGGGGGCCAGACCTGGGAAAGCCCCTGAAAAAATGTGTTGGTCACACTGACTCACTTCTGCAGACCCTCTGGAGAGGAACCAAAGTGGCACAAATCCAGTGGTTTCCAACCAAAGGCTGGGAAAAGGAAAAGGGGAGGGAGCCAAGCATATTGATCAATTTTCAACCAACCAATGCAGGAAGGAGGGAACAGCCAGACAGGCAAGAGGGTGTGTTTGGGCATTTAACATCTTTGTGGAAGGAAGGTTGGGATTTGACACTACAAATTTCTCCAACACCAAGGTCAGTTAGTGGCCTATGGACAACTTAAGATTCTCCAGTCTGTTAACCTTACTAGCAATAATAATAAATGATAGTACCAAGCTGTTTTGGTGAAATCTTTATGTGCCAGGTAGTGTGCTAGGTATATACATTTACTCATTTCTGTCTCAAAACCCCTGGGAAGGCTGTAGTCTGTGAAAGAGGCTCTGAGCCATTAAGTGACTTGCTCAAGGTTATACAGCCAGGTAGTGGCAGGGCCTGGAGGTGAGTGACCTCCTCCTGAGCAGAGGAAACAGAAAAAAAAAACAGTCCTACCTGTGAACTTCACAGTGCATACCTGCGTGAGAGGCCAAGAAGCCATACAGCAAAGAAATCTATGGAACTCACTAAGCCCAGCTTTTCCCAAACTTAACACAAAACGGCTTTTTCAGGTGAGCATGGTGAAAATGGAACACACTGGGAAAAACACTAGCCTATATGCCGGGGTGGAATGAGGGCCAAATTCCCATTGATTGGGGCTTTCTTCTATGCAAAAAATATTTTAGCATTTTGGTAGGGACATTCTGGTTTAAAGAAGTGTTTTTAACCATTTTTTGCACTAGTGTCTTCCCCCAAGAGAAAAATTAAATTTAAATTCTCCCTAACAAGAGAAATGAAATACTAAGAACTGAGACTCTGTGGGGTAGGACTGTGCATCGGAGGGCCACACACCATTTTCCTCTCAGACTTCTTTTGCTCCCTTGGAGGTACTGTCACCCTGCTGAGAATTCCTGGCTTAAAGCTGTGCTTAGAGAAGACGACAGAAGAGTGACAGCAGGTAGGATTACTGATACCAGTTTTGTTGTCTTCCCTTACAAATGACCAGCATCTTTAAATAGGAAGAACAAATACTGATGGAAAGGAAAACAGACCAGGAGGTAATGGAGAGATGAGTGTAGGGCCATCTTTTCAAATCCGTTGACACCCACCAGACCCAATCACACAGTGTTCTCTGAACGACTGCCTGGGATCCAGCTGGACCCTGAAGGACCTGGAAACCGTATCTGTGCAGAAACACTGAAGAATGGGAGGAGGGAGGAGTTTCATGGAAAAGCAAAAACAAGGAATAACTGCTACTTTCAACTATTGGAAAAGTCATTCCTAAATGCCAATAGACTTAGTGTCCATTGTCTAAAAGAGGGGAGGAAGGAAGGAGGGGACGGGGGAGCAGAACAGACAGAAATCAAATTCTGGATCAAGGTAAAGGTCTTTTTAATTAAGGTGGTCCAAATAAATAAATAAATAAGGTGCTCCATCAGTAGAATGGGATGCTTCACCAAGTAGTGGAAGAATCCATCTCATCCCAGTACAGTTGCAAAGGAGTCAGGGATGATACCACACTGGGGGAGACAGACTGGAGCAGATAAGACCCCAATCATCACCCAGGACTGCAGAATTTTAGAACTCAGAGGCATCCCAGAAAGGAGCACATTTTGTCATAATAAGAGTTATCTTTCAATATTTAAAAACTCCAAGTACTAGCCCTCTTATTTTAAGACTCAAAAGTCTTCAAAACTGTCATTTGGAGAGTCACTCAGACTCTCTGGAAAATGTGATTTATGTGGCTCTCATTGTTTCGACAGACCTGGAGGTCCCCCACCTGCAATGGGAGGGACTGTGTTCCAGAATCACCCTGAGTGATGCCAACCCTTCCATGAATCCACGAAATCCAGTTTCTTAAGTACAGAAGAAGATAGCTGGCCTTTAAAGGACAAGCCCAAACTACCAGAGTGGTGGTAGGTGAGGTCACTGAGGGGAGGCATACTTCAAGAGTGCAGTTTAGTTTTTTTCTTTAGCAACTAGTAAATCCCTCCAGAGTATTCATTTTTAAATGTGGGTTACAACCCATTAGTGGATCACAAAATCAATTCCATGGGTCTCAATAAACTTTTATTTCTTTAGTGAAACAACACAATAGAATGGAAAACATCAGAACGCACTGCTCCCAGCAAGTGAAATACGGTTTCCTTAAACTTCTGTTTCAGTCAAATGTGTGTGTGTGTGTGTGTGTGTGTGTGTGTGTGTGAGAGAGAGAGAGAGAGAGAGAGAGAGAGAGGTAAATCTCTCTCTTACCTTGGTCACCCTAGAGAACTAGAGCACTAGAGCTTAGGGCTAGGGACACAACCATGCAGAAAGAGCAGGAGACAGACACTCTGGGTAGAGATGACGAGTTTTAATGACACAGCCAACACTCACAATCACGGCTGGCTCTTCCAACAACTTGATCTTTGGGACAAGACTTTGTGCAGAGTCAAGCAATACACAGAAGCACATGAGCAACAGAGGCAACATTCTGGCTTCTAGTGAGGGGGCAAGATATCTACGTGTCATGATCAAAGTACCTTTTTATTCTTCTTAAATTAAAACCTTAATTTGCTCTGGCCTCCTAAGGGGCATTCTAATCCCTGGCCCCCATTTCTTTACAAGGGACATTCTCTTCACGTGGGGCCGGCTCACCAGAGCAGCCTTCCAGCCCTCGGGAGTCTCCTTCCGTGACACGCACAGCTAGGCTTGCACAGGCAGGGAACACACGTGACAGGGCTGCTTTGGTGGTGCTGGTTGGGGAGGTGTTTTCTTCACTGGATTTTGGTGACTGCTTCATGAATGGAGGTGGCCACATAATCTAGATTTTTACTAGTTAAGCCACACATGTTGATCCGACCACTTGGCAGCAGATAGATGTGCTTTTCCTTAACCAGATATTCAACCTGCTTGGCTGTTGAAAACCAAAAGAGAGATAATGAGAGTAGTAGGAACCCTCTCAGCCACTGAGGGTCAGAGATTCCACAACAGTTTCAGGTTTCCTTCTTTCCCCCAACACAGAGAAGCAAAATAAAAAGAGATATATTGCCCAATTAAAACACAGGGAAGTATGTTCATTTGATTCTGGAAACCACTTATTATCCAACTTTCTGATCTCCAGGAAGTTTAATATGGCTTCTCCTGATGCGAACTACCTCCCTACTAAAGATGCAGGTTACATTCACCAGAACAACCTATTAATACAACCCTCAGACTTAAGAACATCCCATTGATATGAAAAGCCAGTTTGAAGTGCTTCCTTTATCTCTTCCTTAACCCCAGCACCCAGCAGCAAACGCCCTCTGACGTTTCCTTTTCACAGCACACTGTACAGGCCTCGCGCCAGAGGTACTGGGTAAACGCTGTGTGCATGAACCAACAGGCTGAAAACCTGTTAAGTCACATGTGATCGGGCACTTCTCAGGTCCCTCATTCAAACACACAGGAGGGCTTCCCCACGTGTTTGCAGAAAAGCTCATGTTAGAAATAGGAGGGAACTGCCTATTCTTCCCTTATGCCACAATCTCTATCAGTTTTTTTTAAATTTGTTTTTATTTATTTCTGAGAGAGAGCGAGATAGCATGAGCAGGGGAGGGTCAGAGAGAGAGGGAGATACAGACTCTGAAGCAGGCTCCAGGCTCTGAGCTGGCAGCACAGACCATGCTGTCATGACCTGAGCCAAAGTTGGACACTTAACCGACTGAGCCACCCAGGCTCAGAATGCCACAATTTCTAGAGATTTTTGGTTTATTGCAAAGCCATGAGACAATTTTATTTGAGTTTTCCCTAAATAATTAGTACCCTCAATTAGCACCATCGATTTGAGGGAATGGGATAATTGTTATGGACTGAATGTTCATGTCCCTCCAAAATTTGTATGTTGAAACCCTCACCCCTAATGTGATGGAATTAGGAGCAGGGGCCTGTCAGGTAATGAGGTTTGGATAACACCATGAGGGTAGCGCCCCTGCGTTGGCAGGAATGCCCTTAGGTGTGAGCATGCATGCACACTCTCTCTCTTCCCTTCACCCCCACACAGTAAGAAGGCAGCCATATACAAACCAGGAAGAGAGCCCCCACCAGAACTGACCATTCTGGTGTCCTGATCTCAGGCTGCCCAGCCTCCGGTACTGTGAGAAATAAATAAATAGCCTATGCTAATTTGTTACAGCAGCCCCAACGAAGATGGTGATAAAATCATAATAATCACAGGAGCAAACACTATGTGCCAGACAGTGTTCTAAGCACCTTATATTAACTCAGTCAATCTTGATAACCTTATCATTCCCATTGTATAGATGGTGCATAGGAAGTTAAAAGACTTCCCCAAGGTCATACAGCTAGTCAGTGGTAGATCTGGGATTTTAAAGCAGGCCATGTAACTCCCAAATCTGAGTTCCTAGCCAGGATGCTGAATTGCCTCTGTACAGACATGGAAAATCTGGACTCTGTAGTCAGTGCTACCATGGACCCCTGCAAACAAACAAAGTGACCTTCAGAAGTAGCCTTGACCAGGGGTGCCTGGTCAGGTGCCTAGTAGGTTAAGCATCCGACTTCAGCTCAGGTCATGATCTCACACGGTCGGGCTTTGTGCTGACAGCTCAGAGCCTGGAGCCTGCTTCGGATTCAGTGTCTCCCTCTCTCTGCCGCTCCCTCGCTTACACTCTCTCTCAAGATTAAACATTAAAGAAAAAAGAAGTAGTAGCCTTGACCAGCTTTAACTGATCACTTGGGTGAAGTACGGTCTCCCAAGGAGACAGAGCATAACCTCACACACCACAGAGCCACAGGCCCACTACCACCTGGAAAGCCTATGCCCCACTGGCAGATGTGGTTACAGGGCTCCAACCTTGGTTTTTTGTTTGTCTATTTACAAGACTTTATTTTTAAGTAATTTCTAGACTCAATGTGGGGCTTAAACTCACAACCTCAAGATCAAGAGTTGCACGCTCTACCAACTGAGCCAGCCAGGCACCCCAAGCCTGTTTTCTTTTTTTTAAATAAAGATGAAACCTCTCTACTTTTGTCAGGGAGGGAAGCATCATAGCTGAGAAACTAAGGTGATGAACTCTTTCCCTAGAAAAAGGCCAATACACACATACACAATGTTTAAAATAACACGTCAGGGGCTTGAGAGGTCTCTTAGAGTACACCACAAATGACAGGCTGCCGTCCCCTGTTCTGATGGACGAAATGTCATAAAAGAAGCACTGCGACGTGAGCCCTGTAGAGCCCAGGTGGTGGTATATGCAGTTCACTGTACAATTCCTCCAACAGTTCTGTTTTAAAAGTTTTCCTAATAAAATTTTGGGAGGAAAAAAAACCCTGTTTTTAAAAAGGGTAAATAGTGCCAGGTGCTAAAAATAGAACTTACGTGTTATGAGCACAGGTCTATTCTCACTGTTTTCTAATTCATAATAAAATGAATTTCCTACTCTGGAGAGTGGGGTAATATAAATATTTGATGGGGAGACATCCCATCTCTGAGCCTTTAGAATATTGCTACTAAATACCACTTCCATTACACCTAATATTTTAAAAACTGCACAGGATAATTTTGCTTATTCAGGTGAATAATTCCACCCAGAATCGGGGGACACCTATGGCTGAGCCAATCTTTACTTTTTAGGTAGCCTCATTTTACCCCAAAGTATTTCCAGGGGTCTACAATATCCAGTACCATCTTTCTTGTTTATATTTCCTTTGGCTTTTTCACACAGGCACTTTGATGGCCCTGGTTTACAGTGCTCCCAGACCTCTCATGTTCCACTTGCTACCCAAGCCAGCCGTACAACTGTCCCCAGAGCCACTCGAACACAAGGTCCACACGCAGTAAGCGGCCACATCTGCACCACATGACCTGTGGCTTGGCTGGCAGGGGTTCAGAATCACATATTAAATGAATGAATCCTCTATCGATAATCAGGAAGGACAGCTGACGGCTGATACACCCTACTCACAGCTGACCAAGTGTCACGCATGGCTGCCCACTAGACTTCCAATCAGCTCTCAACTCCAGCTACCAACCTAAGTTCTTATTTATGAAATGGAGAGATAACTTTGTAACTTCTTTTTTGAGGGCAATGCTTGGAGACTAGGAAAGACCCGTTAAGAATCAGGTCCCTGAGGGGTGCCTGGGTGGCTTAGTCGGTTGGGCGTCCGACTTTCGCTTAGGTCATGATCTCGCGGTTCGTGGGTTCGAGCCCCGCGTTGGGCTCTGTGCTGACTGCCAGCTCAGAGCCTGGAGCCTGTTTCAGTCTGTGACTCCCTCTCTCTCTGACCCTCCCCTGCTCACGCTGTCTCTCTCTCTCTCTCTCTCTCTCCTAGAAATAAATAAAACATTTAAAAAAAAAAAAAAAAAAAGAATCAGGTCCCTGAATAATCACATATAATACTTATACATAGGATTAAGGAAAGTCAAAAGGTACCTGAGCATTTATGAGAGACCTTTCATAAAACAAGTCTCCAAGGTATAAATCCTGTTACTTCCCAGCCCACAAAAATGAAAATATCTGAGTTATGGCTCCGCAGATGGGTGGGACACACTGAGAAAACCTAACTTGTTCTGCCCAAAGTTATGACTGACTGACCAAACAGGTAACAACCAAAGGGGCTGAACCCAAGAACAGAGAGGAGTGAGCATTCCAGGTGGCTGGGGGGGGGGGGACACTTACGAGTCAAGCCGGTGAAGCTGAACATTCCAATTTGCTCAGTGATGTGGTTCCAGGTTCCAGGAGTCTTGAGGGCTTCTAAGCGTGCCCTGAGTTCAGACCTCATGGTCAGAATCCGGTCAGCCATCGTCTTCACATTACCTGTCCTGAGTGGACAGCAGTATAAACATCAGTCCCAAGAGGACAGATGGCACACAGAAACATATAGGTTTTAAAAATGTAATTTAATCTATAAACTGCAAATGAGATCACAACCTGGCTATGATAGTTTGTGGAGGCCTAGATGGGTAGATAAGCAGACTACAGAGAGACTTACCAGGCAGAAGGAAATAACTGAGCCTCCGATGGAGTTTAGCACTAGTCATGGGCATACTGGCTGTAATACCGCTCTTGTTTTAACCCAGAATTCACCTAGGGACTGACCCAGACAGGATTTTATCAGGCTTAATTAAGTAGACTACTTACATAGTAGTCAGTAGTAGTAGTAGTTTTATCAGGCTTAATTAAGTAGACTACTTACATAGTAGTCAGTAGTAGTAGTAGTAGTAGTAGTAGTAGTAGTCGTCTACTACTTTTATATAGTTACTACATAAAAATTGCTTCAAAATAAGGCAAAATGAAAAACAAAACAAAATAAGGCAAAATGTATGTAAACTAGATACAAATGAAGAGTCCTCAAGTTGTCCCACTAACTTGCAGTTGGATATTCTAGTCTATCAGGAAATCCTTCCTGTGTTTTCCAACTTTTAGCGGGGAAGCCTGGGTGGTAAGAGAACGGGGAACACGTCCCATTCATTGAGTGCTTCCTCCTATGTTCCTGGTGCTGTGATGTGTTATTCACACGCGCTGTGTTATGCATGTGAATAACACATGTGAGCAGGTTCCAGCCAGCCTTATTTTACAGAAATATCTGCGACTCAAAGAGTTCAAAGTAATTTTGTCCTGCCTCTACCAATATAAAAGGAAGAGATGGTTAAATGTGATGGGACAATTACTGGCCTACATTCCCACATCTCACCCATCAGGCTTTGTGCCCCTTACCATTCCTTAAAGAGCTCAGGGTTAGAGAGGGTAGAGGCCACAATTCGTGCTCCCTGAGCAGGAGGGTTGGACCAAGTAATTCGCACAATCTTCTCCATCTGGGAAAGGACCCGCAGGATGCTGTCATGTTCTTTTGCAACCACAGTCAGATTGCCCACTCGCTCATCTAGAGGGAGGGATGAGAGTCAGCTGGGAGCTGTAATGGGGGTGGGGCGGGGTGGGGCTATAACTCAGGAGAGCACTCACTGTAGAGCCCGAAGTTCTTGGAAAAGGACTGAGCACAGAAGAGCTCAAATCCTTCAGACACAAAATAGCGAACGGCCCAGGCGTCTTTTTCAAGGTCTCCAGATGCAAAGCCCTGATAGGCTGAGTCAAAGAAGGGGAACAGAAACCGGCGCTGTGAGGAAGGAAAGCGAGTCAGGCCAGGAGATCCTTCTGGAACCAACCTCAGACACCAGCCTTCCTTCCCCAGCTGGTGCCCGAACAAAATTTCTAATACTACCCATTTCTCCTATCTCTCCCCTTTCTGCATTCAGCAGCCACTTACATCTGTTTCTCTGCTCAGCTAAACACCAACCAATAAATCTAACAATTTCAATAAACCTTATTTTTTTAAAGTACATTCTCCTAGGGTGTCATGATGCCACTTTGCCAAACAGGGCTTATTTATGAGGTATGGATGTAGTGTCCTGTGTTGGTGGAGGATTCTTTCCTCAGAATTCCTGGTGTGATAAGCTTAGTCAGCTTGGTCTCCCCAGGGCTCCCCAACAATCCCAGGACTAGTCTCCTGGGCACTGAAGACAAAGCAGACCATGTGGTCCCTACTCTCACCCCTCTAACCTCCTCAAAGAACTCCCCACAACTGAACTTGGCCCTCCTACTACACTTGTTCTCTGAGAGGACACCACTTCTATGCTCCCAACTGTCCAAGGCAGAGCCCAGGGTGCATCCTCCACTCCTACCCCAGTAGCTCAGCCCTCACATCCAACCACATCCCGATTCCTATCACCCCCATCTCCTGGGAGCTTGAGAATCCTTTCAAGTCTGCACCTGCCACTGACTTCATTCAGGTCCCCATCAGCTCCCACCTAGATCATGACAACAGCCTCCTAACTGCTCTCTCTGCTTCTCTAACCTTGCCTCCCTTGGATCCACTCCCTGCTATGTAGCCTGAAGACAAAGTACATTTGCTCACAACACAGCATGACATCAGTGTTTTCCAGTGGCTCCCCACTGCCCTCCAAATAAAGTCCAATGGCTCAGCACCAAATCTTGCCATTTACCTTTAACTCACTCATAATCCCTTAGAACTCTCAGCTGTACTGAGAACTATTCTCAGTTCCTCACATGGGCCATGACTCTGCCTTGGGCTTTGACTACACTCCTCCCTCTGTAGGGAACATTCCTTCCCTGCCAGCCCCCACCTGTCCTCATCCTTCAAGTCACAACATGGCTTCTTCTGACACCACTGCCCTCCCAACACACACACACACACACACACACACACACTCCCCAAAGTCTGGGCTATGTGCCTCCACATAACCCCATCAACACCGCATCCCACAGTACTTGGCTGTCTGCCCAAACAGGCTGTATGCTCTTTGAGAGCAGAGATGGTCCCTGCTGTGCTCACTATTATATCCTCCTAGTTCCTGACACATAACAGTTTCTCAATGAGTATTCTTTAAACACATTAATGGAGAATATATACACTTTGAGCTAGAATTTCCAATCTAGAAAGTCATCCCAAAGAAATAATAAAAAGGAATCTTATACACAACTGTTTAGAAGAGTAAGAAACCTGAGATCTAAATGTCCATGAATTGATTTAATCAATCCCTGATGGCACGTAGCCATGCATGGAAAATGGTGCTATAAAACATTCGATGGCATGTAAAGGAATCCAAATGAAAGACAAAGTATGTTACAAAACAGCATAAAGAAAATGATCCCGTCTTTGTGAAATAAATATGTTTACATATGTATAACATATTAACAATGGCTTTCTTTGGGTAATAGGATTTACAATTAGTATTTATCTTCTTCTTTGGGCTTTTCCCCAAACTCTTCCATGAACAGATATTGCTTTTGAATACATAAAACAATAATACATACTATGCTTCAAGAGATGCTCTGAAAAGGCAGTTACCTTCATGACGGCAGCAATCTGCTTCCACTGCTCCGGAGTTGGGTCAGTCCCAGTTGGGTTGTGTGCACAGGCGTGGAGGACAAAGATGGAGAACTCGGGGGCATTCTGAGGGGAAGGAAGCTATATCAGCTGTGACACGTGCAGGAATATGGGCGGGGGTGGGGGGCTGTCAGAGTCAGTGGCTCACTGGGCAAGGAGCAGCATATTTCTTACTTATGTGCTAACACAGATACCACCATCTGGTTTGGGTAGTTATGTTTCAGACTCTCTCCCTTATCAACCGATCCAAAGACCTTTCTCTGCTTCTCCTGACACCATGGGGGTCTGTTTACTTATCATCTAATCGCCCACCTCCAGATCATTCAGGAAACCCTGGAGATCGAGTCCTCTCTTCGCTGCATCCCAATAGTGATAGGACCGAATGTCTTTAAATCCAGCAGCAGAAAATACACCATTATGATTCTCTGTAAGCAAAGGGAAAAAAGTTAAAACACTTTTACAAACACAGAAGCTTAATTGGAAAGGGTACAAGTCACCTTCCAGGGCCTTCACAGGCTCAATATTCTCTGGACAACACTGAGGATAGGGGTTAAGACTTAGAAGAATGAGGGGCACCTGGGTGGCTCAGTTGGGTAGGCCTCCAACTTTAACTCAGGTCATGATCTCACAGTTCGTAGGTTTGAGGCCCGCATTGGGCTCTGAGCTGACAGCTCAGAGCCTGGAGCCTGCTTTGGATTCTGTCTCTCCCTTTCTCTCTGCCCCTCCCCTGCTCGTGCTCTCTTTCTCTCTCTCTCTCAAAAAAANAAAAAAAAAAAAAAAAAAAAAAAAAAAAAAAAAAAAAGGACTTAGGAAAATGACTGTAATCAAGAACAAGTTCAACTGGTCAGTCATGCTAAACTTATATCCTATACCACACGGGACTTCCTGTGTCTACATTCTATATCTCCTCTGGGAAGTTTCAGCATATGCTAAAATACAAGTGTACCAAGCGTCTTGAGGACAAGCATTCCTATTCTGAACTGGAGCATCAGGTTACTCAGGTACTGCCACAACCCACTGCTTGAGCCATTCCCAAATGTCAGCTGATCCAGGGTTGGGTTACATCTTCTGCATAAGTGGTGAGATTCATGAGGGTAATACCCCCTGGCTCCTCTCGCTACAGCTAAAGGACTCACCCCAGGTTGGTGAGGACACATAGACGGGCGTGTCCTTGTTGTTCGTTCCATTATACCATCGTGCTAAGAACTCAGCTCCAATTCGAAGTGCACCTGTTCCCCCCAAAGACTGCACACCTCCCACCTGAAAGAGGAGAAGCAAGGTCACTGGTTGATAATGGTGAAGTCAGATGATTATTAGGAAAACTCCAGTAACAACGAGCACTTACTTTGTGCCTGTTCTGTGCTAAATCCTTTAAATGTATTATCTTATCAAAACCTCACAACTACATGAAGGAGACGCTATTATTTGCCCATGTTTACAAATGAGGAAACTGAGGCTACGGGAAGTGAAGCACTTGGCTCAGTTATCAGCCTCTCAAGGCAACTCTCCTTACTTCCTTACATCTTAAAATGACCTCACATGGGCAATAATAGAGTCCTATGTTTTCCCATTTACAAAATACTTTCACACAATTCTTATTCATCCTTGCACAACCCTATAAAGTAAGCTATAGATCCCTAACTCATACATGAGGAAATTGATGCAGAGAAGGGGTCTCCCAAAGGGCTGTGCGGCTGTGAGAGGCAGAGCTGGAAGTGATTCCAGGCCTTCTTGCTTCAAATCAGGTCATCTACCCTGCTCTACTGTTCTGCCTACAAGCCTTCGATTCCGCCCTCTTGCAATTCTTAGTAGGCTTTGGCATGACTCAGTAGAGAAATGTCATAAATTGCTCAATATGTCTAAAAGATTAAGGAGAAAGAAAAAGATCACTTGAGAAAAATCTATCTAAATAAAAGGAAGGGCACAGCAATCTAACACAGTGGCAACCTCCTGGGGAGGGACCTTGGACAGGGGAATCCTGGGATGGAGGAACAGTGATCATGGGGACTTTAGCCTAATGTGTGAGTAATTTTTAAAATAAGGAGAATGTATTCATGTATTATTTGCAAAATTTTTAAATAATTTTTAAATTTTTTTAGATGTCTGGGATTTGCTTTTGGCACAGATGTGGGAGGGTATACAAAAGTGACCAAATACAGATCATTGTTGAAGCTCAGTGATGGATACGTGGGGGTTTGTTCGTCACACTCAATTATCTGCTTATGTATACATTTGGAATTTTCCACAATAGAAAGGTTAAAAAAATCTTCCTAGACAAAGAAGAAAAGCTCCTAAAATCTTTTTTTAAAAGAAAAAAAAAACACTGATACTAAAGGATAACAAAGGAAAAAGACAACAAAAAAAGGGAGACCAAGCTCATTCATGAATATTGATACTCACCTTCCAGATAAACATTAACGAACAGTATGAATCCAACAGTACTCTAAAAAATACCCCCTTTCTCAAGTGACAGTCATCCCATGAATGCAAGATTGTTAGAGATATCAAATGTGTCATGCCGCTAACATAGAAAACCCAAATGATCTTCATGACAGATAAGAAAAACGTAGCCATCCCTGATTTTGATGCTCAGTAAAATAGGAAATAATGGATACTTCTTGAAAATAACAGGAAAAATTCATTCAGCCATGATGAATAAGTCAGCTTCTTGATGAACAATGAGTCATTAGCAGAAATCCTCTTTGAGCCAGGAACGAGGCAGTGATACCAATTATCACCATTTGTTATTATTCCCCAGTGTTCTATTTGTATGCAGAGGTCTGAGCATCTGTGAAAGAATACTGTCTGAAATGTGAAACAGAAGCCAAGTGGACATTCCCACAAACGATGAAGTGAGCATGGTTGTGTGCTGTAGGAAAGCAAGGGCAGCGGACTGGGTGAAAATGGTTAGTGCATATCAGATGGGGCACATTAACTTCTCTGTTCTCCGCAGTGATCCCCGATGAGCACCAGGGCCCTCCTATTACTTTAAAGGTTTGCGGGCCGCCTGGGTGGCTGAGTCAGTTAGACAGTTAGTCAGTGATGTTAACCATATGTGCATTTATGTTTCAGGGACTTGTCCAATCAGCTAAGTTGAACGTCAACTTTATTCATTATCTCACATTTCAAACACCCAGGCAATTCTGGCATGTTTACACTTTCTATACAGATGAGCAAGGCTTCCCTTGAACCTGGTGTTAAGTTATCAGGGGTATGTGACAGGTGTGTGTGGACATCAGTGAAAATGTTCTCGGGTGTAATTTTGTATTTCCTTTCTCTCCCACTTAAAGATGCCAATTCATTAACTAAAAGAAGCAAGAAAGCCAGAAACATGTTTAGATTGAAAACATGTTTGGAAGAGATAAACTCACTTCACTAATGTGAACGAATCCTTTCATGTAACACCTGACAACAAATTCTCAAGAAATTGTCATTCCTTAAAAACATACTGAATACTGGATGGCTTCAGTGAACACAAAACTGTATGACCAATTAAAAGAAAGAAATGGAGCAAATCCATAATGTATCAGTTTGGTTATTCTGTAACCTGAATTTTGGCAAAGTGCTCTAAAGTCCAGGGAAGCTCTGCATCTGGAAGGAAGGAAACAAGTGCAAAGTTCAAAAGGAACCAGGCAACTAGCCTGGCGGCTAACCTGGGGTGTCCAGAACAAGAAAAATCCAGTAATGTATGGTGTGAATGATGTCAGTAGGCAATCTGTACTCTTGATTTAGCTACATGGCCTGAAGAAATCCCTGCCAGACTTGAGAGCACTTGTCAGAAATCACAGTTTGCTGATGTGATGACGTCACTTGGGAGGAGCAGCAAAGCTGACCAGAAGCTGCTTGTGGCCAAGGCCATGATGCATGAACCTGGCCACGGTTAGCAGTTCACACAGGTATCTAGCACAGGGTGCTAATCATGGACAAAATAGATGAAGAAGATGACAATGTTGACAAGATGAGCCACAGAGAAAGCCTAAGTCTCCCAGAAGTGACAGTCAAAGCAAGAAATTGGGATGGCATCACATGAACTACGAGCCCTCGTACTGACAGTGGCCTGGAAATTCCGAAAGCTGAAACATTATAATGCTGGAGATGAAAATTGGACATATGGTATAAGGTCTGAAAATAGAAAGCAGTAAGAGGCAGTGAGGAGTGTAGAAAATAGGTCTCCTCAAAATGGTTGATGGACCTGGTAATGTTAAACCTTGAGAAGAAAAATCTAAGGGAAGAGATGATTACTGTTTGTTTTCTGGTTCATTCATTCATTCATGCCTCATCTACTTCAAGATCTGGCTGAAATGCCACTTTTTTTTTTTTTTTTTTACAAATAGTTTATTGTCAAATTAGTTTCCACATAACACTCAGTGCTCATCCCCATAAGTGTCCTCCTCTATGCCCATCCCCCCCTCCCCCTGAAATGCCACTTCTATTTCTATCATGACCACCCCAGTAAAAACCAAGTCTACCCCTACTCCCACCCTCAGCTCTCCTAATGTGCCTCTCCTACTTTCTTTTTATAGCATTTATTTTTTTAATAGACTCTATCATATTCTTATTTATTATGCTTACAGTTCCTTCTCCCCACCAAACAGTAAGCCAGGGCAGAAAATTTTGGGTCTTTTGGTCACCACTGTGCTCCAGCTTCTAGAACAGTGCCTACCCTTAATGGTGAGCACTCATCTGCTGACTGAATGAATGAGGGAATTCAAACATCTAAGAATCTCTGAAGTGTCAGAGTAGGAGCTAAATGCTGAAGATGTACGAGATAAATGAGTAAGCCATCATCCCTGCCCTGAGGGAAGTTATGGTCTTATGGGAGAGACTTATAAAATTATACAATATAGTAAGCATAAGTACAGTTATTCCTGAGCTGTGAACAAAGTCCTGTGATAACTCAGCTCTGCCCAAGAGAGCTAAGGACTCAGCATGGAAGTGACCCTTGGCCAGGCCTTGGAGGACTTACAGGCCCTTGGAATGGCAGGACCCCAAGGGGAATGGGGGTGGGAGACTATGAGTCATTGGAGAACAGGATGAAGGCTGGCTATAAAATATGCTACATGCCAAGTTCAAAGTCTGAATTTGTCCTGTAGATAATGGAAGGGCGTGCGTGGGGGAGGGGGCGGGAGGGGGCAGGGAGCAGGTGACATGATTATCAGTGTTTTTTGCTAAGGAAGATCATCCTAGCTGTACTGTGCAGAATGTAACAGGATGGGGAAGGGACTAGAGGCAAGAGGCTCTTATAAGAATCCAAATGAGAGGATAGTGGGCTGAACTTGGGGATGGTAAAGACGTCCAGGGAGAAAGAACAGACTCAGAGCTCAGAACCAGCCAGTAACCATGATGATGCAGATGCCAAGAGAGCATCCCAAACCATCCTCCCACCCCTCAAAAAAAGCCTTCAAATATTTATGGACTGCCACCTAAATTTGTTCTCTGATCGAAAACACAACACAGGACAAACCAGACTAAGAGGGAGGGCCATGTTCCACACATCTTACAGAATGCAATGATCAAAACGAAAGCACCGGGGCAGAGAAACAAGAATCCACCCGACACAGTTTTGGGTTTTTTTTTAACGTTTGTTTTTGTTTTTGTTTTGAGAGACAGAGAAGGCGCAAGGTAGAGTCAGGGAGAAGGAGACACAGAATCGGAAGCAGGCTCCAGGCTCTGAGCTATCTGCACAAAGCACAGTGTGGGGCTTGAACTCACATACCATGAGATCATGACCTGATCCGAAGTCAGTCACTTAACCAACTGAGCCACCCAGGTGCCCCCAACACAGTTATTAAGTTTAGAAGAAATGTGCAGTCTCAGAGGAAGAAGGTCCCCAACACAGAAAAAACTTGGTTCTCTCCTCCGTCAACAATAGAATTCCATCTAATCTATCAACAGCATCCCACAAGATAACCCCTAGCTGCCAAAGTCCTCCACTGTCACAGTTCATCAGGACTCTCCTCAACGTCCCAGTGTCAGCCACCGAAATATACTCATGACTTGCCTGATCACTGACCCGAGTTCCAGGACATTCACTCCGAGCCTCCCCGCCTCCTGATTCATGGAAGACCGTGCCTGTGTCCAACCCTCAGTTTTCACCCTGCCATTCTGCTTAGGGAGCCAACTGGGTAACAGCAGGTGGGGAATAAATCAGATGATTCCAAGATGTGGTCCCTTCCATGCACGAAGGCTGCACTACAACACCGGCCCAGGGGAGCAGTAAGGGCAGCTGGTTTAAATTGCACAATACCTAACTGGACTAC